TCCTGAAGCATTGTTCTCAAGGCAAAGCCCGCGACTGTGGGTAACGGAACCCACATAGGAACGAAGAAAGGCTAGGTATCTGAGTAGCGGAGAAAAGCAGCAGAAAAACAGCCGAAAATGCCCTAAATAGGATACCGTATCGACCCCAACTTGTACAGTCGTCATCCTTTGCACTTGATAGTCAATGTCAGTGCGGCTGCGTGCGGCGCGGTCGCCCGCACCCGTACTGCACCAATCGTTGAACCAGGAAGTGACATTACTGTATTATATCCTTCGTGTTACTCGTTTTCTATCACTTTTTGTCGCATACGCGTTTCAACGAAAAGGCTGAGAAGGCTTCAAACAGTGTGCACGCTCCTTCTCGCCGACACGCCCCTATCAAGTGCAAGGATGACGACTGTACATTGCATCAATTGAAGAAACGATAGGTTTTACTTCGATTCCGAAGTAGTGTATTAGTTGACTAGATTTGCTGTTGAACACAGATAGAAGGAATATTTATTCAGTACAATAGTTGTCCCGTGTTGGGACACTGAAGACAGGCGGAGGCGAGTTGAGTGCGAAGAGAAAGAGTAAGTAATACTGTATGACCTCGCTATATATGGGTGGCGGGGGCGACCCTTTGGTACCTGAGGGGTCATCCGTTTGCTCCTGGCAATATCCTCAGGCAGTTAATGAGCCCCTGGTCATTAGCCTCGGGATAGGTCGCCTCCGGTCCCCAGCAACCCAACAGTGGGTCACAAATACACAGTCTATATAATTTACATATGATATGATGCTTTACAACGCTCTATCCTACATGGGTCCCCCCCGGAATAACGAAGCGCTTCCACTGCGCTTATCCCCCTTCCAAACGCGCCCACGAAGCGAGCGTCTGCTGAAATCGTGGCGGTTCTCTGAAGTGAATGTTCGCGATGTGGAGCAAGAGCGCTGGCTTCTATGAAAAGATTCCTTCTGTGCATCACGGCGATATCCGCGCTGGCTACCATAGGCGTAGTGATAGGAGTCGCTGTTCCTTTCTTGAAATGGCCTTACTGGAGCGCGTCTATGATGATCCGGGAGACGATGGAATTCCGGCAAGCACAGCACTGAGCTGTGTGCCTTCAAGGTAGAGGACCAGAACCTCTTTGCTGCACTTTGCGTGAAGTGCCGACCTGATACCAGGTTAATTTTATCCGCCAATATTTTGAACGGCGCATCCACAGAGAAGTTTTGAGATCGCAAGGTAGGAGGCAACGAAGGCGTTGCTTGAGAGTCGGTCGCTGGGCAGAAGTTTCTTCGATGAAGTCTCGAAGAAGATCAACACATCTGCCCCAGTCTGCGTCGTCCTGTGGTCCCGCAATTGCAATAAGTTCTGCACCTCCAGAGACGGCTTTCATCAGTAAATACCATGCGCTCTTCCATTGCATTGGCTCGGTGTAGTGAGCTGGCGAGAATAGGATGATGGCGCTGAACTCTTCCTCGAACCAGAGGGGTTCGAGTTCCTCTATGGTGCGAGCTGACTTTGCAATTGTTGTGGCTGTTTCAAATCCAGCCAGTACATCCTGGAATCCTTCTGGTAGAATGATCAATGTGCGGCGTAGTTTGACAGCTATTCCGCTGTTGCCGGTCCAAGGATGGGCGTTAGCTATCTGTAGCGCTTCTGTAAACATCCTCGGCAAATGATAGGGATCCATGGTACTGCGAGGGGGAAAAGCCGCCGTTGGTGTGGTGGCATCAGCCACGCTCGCCAGGGCAGTGTGGATGCAACGACTGCGATAAAACGACATGGCCAAACCCAAAGAGGTTGGTGTAATGAGATCGTAACTGGTATCCAAAAGCCGGGCGACTCGAAAATGTTCGGGTATATGTGACTGCGTAGCGACAGCAATTAATCGTGCGAGTTGGTACGGTGATCGAAAAACACATGACGGCAAAACAATGTTTGGGAGAAGTTCTCCGATGGCGTTGTTGACAGAGCAGTGCACTCGTTGTCCGTTGACCTCCAGGCTTCCCGGACATCTCCAATCTACATGGCGAACGTTGTCTTCGGACGATGATGGTGCGCTGAAATGAAATTTTTGAATAGATAGTACATTACTGAAGTTTGAATTTTTCTTTCTTCTACCACGTTTTGCACGTGCTGTGGTCCCTATGACTCTGTCATTACCTATCTCCTTAGGTACTTTAATTAAATGGTCAAACTGAACCCTAACCGGTTCTTCATTTACACCGATCAAAGTGACCAATGCTGAGTTAGCGCTGGCGTTCAATTACCCTGAATGGACCAGACCACTCAGTTGCTAATTTGGGATGCCGCGATTTGCTTTTCTCGGCAGGAAGCTTCATATAAACTCTATCACCTGTCCTGAAAACTACCGAGGAAGCTGTTTTGTACCTTCTGTCGTAAGCTAATTTCATTTTGTCACGATACTCCTTTGCATTTTCATTGATGCATTCTCGCGCTAATTTGAGTCCGCAAAGCAGTTCTGTCTTGTAGGTATCGTAGTCCACGATGTAAGGCGATAGGTGTTCCGAAGGTATTGACATTGAAGGATATACCGGATCATGCCCATACAACAAAAAATGGGGACTTTCTCCCGTGCTGCATGCGGGGACGCGTTATACGCATAAACAACGGTCGATCGGTAGAACTCGATCCCATTCCGCAGCTACCACTGTTTTCTTTTTTAACATTCTGACAATGGTCCCATTGACCCTTTCCGTCAGTCCATTCTCTCGGGGGCAGTACCCCTTAGTGAATTTTTGTGCTATTCCCATCAACTTTACAGAGAGCGGCCATTATCTCATTTTCGAATTCGCTCCCTCGATCGGAGAGAAGTACTTCTGGCCATCTTCCGGCACCACAAACCCAATTGCTAAAAATGGCCTCAGCAACGGTTTCCGCTTTCTTGTCCGCTATGGGGTACGCACCTAAATATTTCGTGAAATGGTCGATAATGGTGACAATGTAACGATTTCCTCGCGTGGTCAAGCCCATTTCTAATAAATCGACGCCGACTATCTGAAGTGGTCTTGTGACTTCAATAGGCCGTAAGGGTGGCACGTTTTCTGTCCTTTGATTAGTCAAGAAAAACAGCTTTGGCAACTGTGGCACCAACTGACCAAATCTTGATGCATTCCTGGCCAAAAGAGGCTTTTTCTCATTTGCATAAACATTTTCTTGGCGCTGAAATGTCCGCCTAGAATACCTGAATGGGCTTCATCGAAAATTTCTCGCCTTCGCGAACGTGGTACCACGGTCGCCAGCGATCCGTTCTCATTAATTAAACTTAATTGTCCGTCATGCAAAACAAAATCAGCGGTGCTAAGAACTTTACCGTGCCTAGGAAGTTTGACTTCTTCAGTCTCACCATTCTCGAGGCATTTTATCAAAAGTTCAAAGTCAGGGTCCTGACGAAGTTCCACGAGCCAGTCATTTTCTTGAACTGTGCAGACTACTTTTTCGTCCTCAGCATAACCTGGGACGCTACCGTCTTGTATAGGAAGCCCTCGTGACAGCGCATCCGCAACCACGTTGGCAGTTCCTTTCACGAACTCTATAGTCAGGTCATAACGCTGAACTTCGAGCGCCCACCTCAAAACCCGTGGGGAAACATTGCTGCTGTACGGTTTTTTTCGCTTGAAGAGCGAGGTGAGAGCAGCATGATCTGTCCGAATTATAGTATGAACACCATAAATAAAATAGTGAAACTTTTTGAGGCTGAAAATCAAGGCTAGCGCTTCTTGATCAGTGACATGATAGTTTTTCTCAGCTCCAGACAAGTGCTTAGAAGCAAAAAATACTGGATGCAACAAGCCGTCATCTCCATCTTGAGCTAGAACCGCGCCTATGCCTACCCTACTAGCGTCTGTATAGATAACAAAGGGGCGAGATCCGTCCCTTGCTTTCTCTATATTTGGTTGCGCTAAGACTGGAGCCTCCGTGAGTGCCTTTTTAAGCATTTCAAAAGCTAAGGTGTGTTCATTTGTCCACACAAATAACCTTTTTGCGCTTGTCAGGTCATATAAGGGTTTGGCGATCTGCGAAAAACGCAGCACGAACTTGCGATAATATCCTGCCATACCCAGGAATGTTCGTAGTTGGGCTATGTTCTGTGGTCGGGCGTAATCCTGAATACGTGCTATCTTTTCCGGGTCTGCTCTGACACCGTTCTCGTCTACCACATGGCCCAGGAACTCTATACTAGGTTCCATTATGCGACATTTTTGAGGTTTAATCTTCAAATGAGGCTTCCCTAAAGGCGCTGAGCACCCGTTGCATGATGTCAACATGCCGTTCTAAGGAATCGGTGGCAATCAAGATGTCATCGATATAAAACTGAAAACTTCAGGACCTAACAATTCACCCAGCACATTGTCCATTAATCGTTGGAACTTTGCTGGTGCTGTCGTAAGGCCGAAAGGGAGGACACGAAATTGAAAATGCCCTGATGTTGTAGTGAACGCACTAATTTCCTTTGCCTTTTCGGTTAAGGGTACTTGCCAGTACCCACTAGCTAGGTCTAGCGATGAAAACCATCGTTTTCCTTGCAAATTCTGCAATGTGATATCGATTGGCGGTAGGGGGTAACTATCCTTTTTCGTCACCTTGTTGACCTCCCTATAATCGACACACAATCGAGTAGTCCCATCTTTCTTGGCTACTAATACTATTGGGGATGCCCACGGGGATTGACTATCCTCAATCACCCTTCTTTCTTTAAGATCCCGCAACATTACATCCAATTCCGCACGTATTCCGTAGGGGACGGGTCTTGTTTTCTGTCGGATGGGTGGATGATCACCCACATCAATGTCGTGAGTGACTAAATCCGTTTGCGTAAGTTCCGTATCCAAAAAATAGCAAAAACGTCGCTATATACTTCAATCACTCTACGCATTTCATCGGGTAAGTTCCCAGCTTTTCGATTTTTATTCAATATGTCCAAAAGTACATGGATCCTTTCAGCATCCTGTAACGCAGTGGGCAACGGCCTGTGGAGGCTGACGTAGGTTCATCATATCGCTCGGACATCGGCTATTCTGGGGTCAACCCAAGTTTCCGTTGACCACCTCCCTAGGTCCTCCCCTCGGCCTATTACCCAGGGTTCTGAACCTTTATTAATGACTGACAGTTCAGCTCTGCCTTCATCTACCTGGCATACACCAGACTCTATACGAGGATTTTTGGACCAAAATATGCAAGCTCCCTTGCTAAATCCACCAGAAATTTTTACTGTGGCTACTTTACCTGGCCCGACTACTACCCTCCTGTCTGAGTACGCAGCATGAGAACACGGGTGATTTGCAAAGCCATTCCGCGTTGCGTGTTGTACCATTTGGGGGTCAGTTTCAGAGAAATCCCCAGAACCTCTAAAGCATTAGTACCTAATAACAACGTATCGTCGTTACTTTGCTGCACGTGCATATGCACGCAGGCCGTGCTAGCTCCTATGACCATTACCTCTGTTTTTATTTCCGAAAGGAAGCTCATCGCATTCCCCGACGCATCGAAAAGTCTACGTTGTTTTCCATCGCCTACGATGTGTGCCTTAGCATCAAGATCAGCGCCTTGTTCGCGCACTCTCTTGAGGAGCCCAACAGGGATAATCGAAATCACAGAGCCTGTGTCTACGAGCGCTTTTGCTGTAATACCGAAAATTTCCACTTCACAAGTGCTTGGTTTACCTACAGCGCCTGACTGGAGTTTTGGGTCTTCCCCTTTTCTTTGGACAGTTTTACACCACCTGTCTAACTCCGTTACAAGCGAGCTACCTCCAGCTGCGTTGTTTCGCGTATCGTTATAGTTGCGGTTGTGACCGTTCTCACGATACTTGTGGTTCGAGGGTTTCTCCCTTTTTCTGCAGTCCGCTGCCAGATGTCCCCTTTTTCCACAAAAGTTGCATTTGGGTATGGACTTGGCTAGGGTTCCTGCTTGTTCACTGGTCGTATTAAAAGAGGGAGTCTTTTGAGGGTCGCTACCTTGTCGATCAAACCCCCTTTTCTGGAAACGCAACTGGGTGTTGCTATCGAATTGCAGCTTTTCCAGCCGCATGGCAACTCTCTTCACCTCTTCGTAGACTCGTCCCTCTGGCGCATCCAATGCCGCCATCATGTAATATGAATTTTGCCAGTGTTGAAAACAGTCCAGCTTACAACTTGGACCCTCTTAATAAAATCCCACTTCGCTGCCTCGGGGTGTACTTTTTTTTCTGAGACAGATTTCCAGCTGGCGGGAGCAAGGTCACGAAATTCTGACGGACAGCGATTCGCCCGTTTTTTCTTGGAGAGACTCTCCCATTCTTTGATATCCCTCAGTCGATCACAGGGATTTTTACGCGCTGCCTTGAGCGCTTCAACGACACCGTTGAAGGTCCCTTGCTTGACTATATCTGAGAAACCCTTATAGAGTGACAGAGCCGT